CCTGACACTATGCCGATGGCAATGGAGTCGTCAACCATCAGTGGAATGAACATGGCTTCAATGTCGATGGATACAGCATCGATGCCTGCGATGACAACGGAAGCTATGTCCATGAGCATGCGGAAAAGGTCAGATAACACTGCAAGCCCGTCAACGGGCACTGCCATGTCTGATATGAGTGCCATTTCTTCGACAATGACTTCTATGGCGATAATGGGATCATCTACGGCGTCGGTGGGCACAGAGGACCGAACCATGAGTACCATGGCAGACATGCCGCAAATGGCTTTGGGCCCACGCGGTTGCAGCCCACCCATGATGTTTAGGCCAGGCTTCAATGCGAGTTCACTTCCACTCGAAACTTGCACGAATACTACATCGGATTTCTTCACCTTCACCGCGGACGCATCTCGTGGCTGGACCGCTCTACATCTCGTCAATGCTGGAGCTGTCAGCAGACTCAGCGTCTCGTTGGACGGTCATTCCATGTTCGTGTATGAAGCGGATGGACTCTATGTGACTCCTCAAGAAGTTCAGGTCTGTCCGCAGCAACTCTTAACAATGATTCATGTTAACCTTCGGGCAGGTTCTGCACATCTCTATTGGCCAGCGGTATTCCGTCATGATACGGCTTGATCAAAATCCCGGAGACTATTCTTTTAGATTTGCAGCTTATCCCTATGGTGACATGCAGCAAGTCATCGAAGGGCAAGCGATACTGTCATACCAGGCGAGTCGATGACACCGGGCAACGTGATATTATGACTAATTCCTCCAGAATATGACCAACAATACTAACATGACTATGATGAGTGACCTGGTCTCGCCGTGGATGCTCGTCAACGGATCCGCCACATCAGGGACTGTCGAGCTTGACGACCAGACACTTGCTCCATTCACGGGCAACACCGCGCCATCAGGGGCGGCCACCGTTACTCGACATTTCGCAATCAACCAAACAGGCATCGTGACTTGGGTGGCTAACAGGGAACCATTCGCAGAGCCTGCTCGGCCTATTATCTATGGGAGCGTCTCTGACGGCTGGAATGCAGCCACTACACTTTTTACCCCTGCCAACGCTACCGTTGATATTATTATGAAGGTCGCGAATGATTCGATGGACACGGTAAGTTCGCCAATCCGTTTGAGTCAACGTCATAGCAAGTTCTGGCTCACGAGATATCATTTGCAGATGGGCCATCCGATGCACCTACACGGCCACAAATTCTGGTTCCTCGGGGCCGGCGAAGGCGACTTTCCGTTCGAATCTGTTACTGATGCACCCTCGTCGATGATCAATCTCCAGAATCCGCCATATCGCGATACCATCGATTTGCCGCCTTCGGGCTGGGCAGTTATCAGGTGTGCAAAGAGGCTGTTCGGCGGATCACTAAATTTACTAACGTTCTTAGGTACATCACCGACAATCCGGGGGCATGGTTGTTTCATTGCCATGTGCAATGGCATCTTGTGGTAAGTCTTATTTCACCGACCGGTAGACACTCTCCTGAATTGATCAACAGAGCGGCATGGCTGTGGTGCTTGTTGAGAACGAGGAACGAATGATGGATATGGTAGGATCTATCCAGAATGCGTTCAACAATCCAGCAACGAAGAATTCGCAGGCGGAAGGGACTTCTGCAGCCAGCACCCTATCTGGTAATTGTCCTCGCCAATATCTTAGCTTTCTATTCTCGCTGCTGTTGCTCTTCGTTCTATTGTAAAGGGACCAGGCGGATGGCATCAATCATTCAGCATGAACGCATCTCCATTGCATTCGATCCAGAAGCTTTACGGAGGATTCAAAGAGATCTGTCGGCGAAGCGCCCAATAAAGTTCTATTCGAAGGGGATCGTACGTCCGCTGGATAAATAGTAATGCAGGCGACTATAGAGATAGAGCACTTACTGTAAAGCACTTTTTGGTGTTGAGGAAACAGTCCGATGACCTTTAATTTTAAATTGAAGTCTAGAATGAATGCCTTTGTTCAACCTCTCCTTGATAATTTGAGCCACGAATGACTTGATACTTTCGACCCTGTCAGAAGGTCACTTCGCCTGCCTGCGTCTATCCCATAGTTCCGGTATTTGTGTGCTCCATGTGACCAGAATACACGGCAATCCAAATGATAGCAGACGGTTGATCTGATAGAGAACACGGTCGGAGGCATGGAGGACTGGGTGGCCGCGGCCGATCATCTGTCGCCGCAATGCGCTTGAGCATAGCCAAGCCCCAAGCCTCGAATACGATTGCACAGCGGCTGCGACATTTGTGCGTGAAGAGGCGAAGCAGGCTGATCGTGCATATGTATGAGCAGACAAATCGCTAGAGTGTTTTGGATCTTCTACATCTCCAACCTCCTCTTCCTGTATCCGCCCTCCTTGACCGAAAACTTTCCTCCTCAAGCAGGACCTGATCATCCAAAGAGACCTGTCTCAATGTCATTCCGTGATCCTACCAGACCACGCCACCACTATCGAGAACCGAGCAATCCTTCACTGAGGACGCCATCGCAGCTTGATGATCCTAAAGACGATCATATCACTTACGAGGACCTGGGTAATTGTGATGGTACGTTAGAAAACAACCAGACTCTAGAACAGTTGCAGGCAGACACAGGTCTAGATGCTTACGTTTGTCGAGCCAGGAACCCATCCATTCAAGCCAACGCTCGTAGCGATTAAAGGGATCGTGTTCGATGTTTCTCGAAACCCAGCCTACGGACCCAATGGACCTTACCACGGTATGCAACTGACTTCCTCTACAGTCCTGGCGAGAGAAAAGGCCACATTCTAGACAATATCTCTCATGGCGGCCTCCCAAGCGTCCCTCCCAACATTGCGCTGCGCAGTGGTGGAGAACACATCCAGCGTCTTTCTGTCAGAGAATTGATGTAGTTTGCTTTCTAGTCTACGCGGGCAAGGATCCTTCCCGTGCCCTGGCAACATCCAGCCTCAGCCCTGAAGACTGTGTTCCCGAATGGCATGACCTCGAAGACCAATACAAGACTGTCCTTAACGAGTGGTATACTTTCTTCACCAACCGATACAAGGTTGTGGGCAAGGTACGTCATTTTGGTGTTGACGGGAGAGAATCGCAAGGCAATCTTCTGCTCTTTTGAATTCTACAGAGCGATCCCGTCTTATGTGGTGGAATAATGATCAGTGGTAATGGTGCACGTGAGGAGGGATACCAAAGTGCCCAAGCACTTTGCGTTTGCTTGTCTTTGAGTTGAGGTGGAAAAGATGGATTGAGGAAACCCCCCTTCGAATCACGAGCTTTGACTAACAACCCATGCCTTTCCAGGTTGTTGGCGCCCACAATTCGTGATTCGGTGTATTGGCCCAATTTGTCGCACCAGAGCTTGATCATAACTGGCTTTCAGGAAGCTTTCGTTGACTTGCAAGGTCGAACGATAAGGGGACAATTTCGGGAAATGAGAGAAGTTCTAGGATAGAGTTCAGCGGTACCGACGCAGTCCACTTTGAGGAGCATGCAGTCTCGATTCGTAATCTAGCTGGAGATCTCTCGGATAGCTGTAGCAAGGCACCTTAAACAACACTTTGTGGAATATCAGACATGGCGCATTGCAACCTGGGCTTCAACTTCGATCGAAGATTGGGGACGAGGCATTGCAGACTCAGAGTTCCATTTCATTGGCTGTGCGCGACAGCGGAGTAGTCGTTTTGGCCGTAGAAAGATCGACCAGCCAAGAATCATGAAGTCAACGCTAAAAGGCGCACAAATCTCGCAGCTTCATGATAGGACAGCGCCAGCTCTCCTTGGTTAAAGGCATGTGGTTGAACTGGTTGTTGGGAGGTTACTAGTTCGTGCCTTTACGACGCGAATGAGACAATGAGTGATAAGAAGCACGTCTGTAGACAAGGATGATCGAGATTTGTCAAGGCTTGGATGCTCCGAGATGAGCACGTCGTTACTGAACGCCCTATTTATAGCACTTGCAATGTTGATGGGGCAATTTGGGCAGTACAATTCCTCATATTTGGAATTGTACGCTGCGATCGTAAAACGTGTGCCCTTGTTCTTTAGCGTGGAGCTCCTCAAGGTCAACGACAGTGGCACCGTAGCCTAAGTCCTCAATCTTAGTAAGAATCGAATCAATAGTTGAACGATTGTTGAACTCGAAGGTAGCTACTGTTTTCCCACTAGGTCAACATTGACCTCTTGGACATTGCAAAGCATCAGGCCATAATGGCTAGAAAGGCAGCCCACCAGGGCAGGACTGTTGACGTCATCGGTCCCTTGCGGTAGGCATCAGCATCCAATACGAATACAGAGCGTTGCGACCCGCAACACGTCACGCTGCTTGCTCCAGAACCTGGCTCCTTGTCGCTAGGATGTCACTGCCGGCGGAAGCAAGTCTTACCATGAGAGAGGTGGTATTTATCAGCCCGATATCTCGATGTGAAGGTCGAGGAAGTACCTTTCTGTGGTATCGCCTCTCGTAGAAACCGCTGAAGCACTAACGATGGCATTATGCCGAGTGATGACTCCTCTCTTCCTCTTGACAGTATTTATATCCTATTCCCTTGCTGCACCATACCTCAACGGGACCACTAGGACATACTATGTGGCGGCTGTGGAGCAAGACTGGGATTATATGCCCACTTCAGTCACACTACCAAGTGCATTAGAGGGACACATCAGCTGATATGGGACAGTGGTATGGACATGCTGAACGGTGTGCCCATCGAAGACTCTCCGCAAGCCGCTGCAGTCGCAGGTCAGAATGGGCAAAGAATCGGACATGTGTACAAAAAAGTCCTTTTTCGCGAATACACTGACGACGGCTTTACCATCCAAACGGCCCGTCCAAGCGTTTGTCAATCTCGGACACTGGATCGCGGCGACGAGGTTACTGATCTAACTTCATAGTGGCTCGGCATGCTTGGTCCGATTATCCGCGCCGAAGTCGGTGACACCGTGAAGGTTGTCTTCCGCAACATGGCGTCCCACAACCACACAATGCACCCGCATGGATTCCGTTATGCAAAGAGCAGCGAAGGAGTCTCTGATGCCATGCAAATGTTTGATGGTAATGCTGTGCCACCAGGGGACTTGGACGTATACATGGGAAGCCCCAGGTAAGGTGATTTCTCTCCTTCGTGGTGCGGACTAATGTGATATCGCAGAACGTTCTGGCCCAGGCCCACTGGATCCTCCGGGGCTTGCTTGGACCTATCATTCAGACGCTGCAGGTACTCAAGACGTATTCAGTGGTCTTGTGGGTGCTTCGATCATCTATCGTCCCGGGGAACTGGCAAAACATACTTTAGATGTCCCAGCCCCTCCCGGCTCGAATCTGATCGAGGAAGTACTGACGCTCTTTTTGATCGTGGACGAAAATCAATCGTACTATATCGACGAGAACACGCTTAACAGGACCAGTATTTCCGAAGGCCAGCTTCAGGTAAACAGAATGGATGCCGGCTTCCAAGAAAGCAATCTGAAACACAGCATCAATGGTTTCATGTTCGGCAATCTCATGGGCATCAACCTTACTGTAGGCACTCAGGCCACCTGGCATGTTGTATGTGATCAGTTCGCCATCATTAGATGATGGTACGAGGGCTAATTAAGTGTTATAGGAAGCGCTGGGGAACGTTGTCAATGCGCATACACCTCACTGGCACGGGAACACACTGATGTGGGCACAGCAGCGAATTGATATCGTAAGCACGTTTGGACTTCTGCGCAGGACCAGAGGTACGCTGACTATGCTCACAGATTAGTGTTCTACCTGCACAAACAAGGTCATTGGTCATGACGGTTGATAACCCTGGCTCCTGGATCCATCACTGCCAAGTTCTCAATCATCGTGATATGGGAATGATTTCCATGTACACGGCAGGCTGAATTTCTTCATGTGGCATTTACAGCGATGGAAACTGACGCCGTTACCCTACGGCCTACCGACCTAATATGGAAAATTTCAAATTCACAATTTAATCCGCAGGGAGGAATGAGGAACCATGAAAGCCTTAAGCACATTCTCTTGCAGCAACCTTGGCTACTAAGTTGAACGCACATTGCATTACAGACCCTGCCGGGACTTGTTGAGCTTTTAATATGCACGGCGCATCATCTAGACTGGCACACGGAGGAGGACACACTCTTTAATTCAGATTTAAAACCATGCCGATATAGGTAGCCAAATGCTTGGTTTGCTGTTCACAAAACTGATTGCTGCGCTCGGAAAGTAGTGATGGATGGATCAGCACGAAGTATGAATAAAAGATCACGAAATTTATTGACACAATAGGGGAGGAGCTGAAAACAGGTGAAATTAGTGAGACACAAGACATCATATCTTGCATCAAGTTGAGAATCTTCTCCGTGCGTTCCCCGGTTTTTCCTGATCCCCAAATTCGGAGTAGCACCTATTTTGTATGTGGTCAAGATCTTGATTGAGCACTCTGCCGGTGCAGGACGGTGCAAAGAGAACACGTCTTAATCGTCCGTCTCCCCGTGGACAAGAGTCAGACACTTGGGGTACATGACGCCGTTCAATCAAATCCGGGCTCGTCATCTGTTAAAGCTTCGACTAGCTCAATTTTGCGAAGTCTCTGGAACGTCTTTGGTCAAGATGACAGTAGTATTGAGGTACGAGATGGCTCAAGGCGCTATCGCTTCCGGAGATGGGAGCCACAGAAGCAGCATCGAGCACCCTGTACAAGATACATGTCAGTGGATATACGATACCACTGCTTACTGCCTCATAGCGCTCAAGTTCCAGCCTCTCGTGGATCAAGGGCAAAGCAGGGGCTGAAAGAGGAAGTTCATGAAGAGCATTTGGCAAGACGATTAAAGATAAGCCGTGATACTTCAAGCATTTTCCTGCCATTCTTCTTCAATGGCCGTGGTGCAATCATGGAAAAGTCTCCAATGGGGCTGGACCTAACGCTGATGTGCAGCCCGCTACGCCAGAGTCGAATTTTAACGTGCGAGTTTCTCCCAACGATCTTGCAACAAGACTCCCGGATGGTAGTGAAGGTAACATTAATACAAATAAGTACGATCGACAGCACGGAGCTTCCCTTGCATAATTCTTGACAGCCATCTACGATCACTCATTTTACAACCGCTTGTTGTTCAAACCATTTTGGATAAGACAATGGCCATAGCTAGCTCATTATATCTTTTGTATTCCTGACGTGGCTGGTTTATGCTTCGATCTCATGAGTTTGGCATTTCTGATCCTCTTCGGTAGCAGGCAGCACGAAACCTTCGTGGGTTTCCCATTCTCGTCTTTCTCTGCGCATGTCGCTTCGAACCCAATGTACACTGATGCACGCCCAAACGGTAGCCCAAAGGAAAGGCACAGCCCAACCTGTGATATGTTAGCCTTTGCTACCTTCGCGGGAGACCCGGTACGCACAGATGCCATACGCCACTGTTGCGGGTATCGAGTGTACCACAGCAATTACTGTGAGTGGCGTAGCAATTATTAGAGCCGGGATAGACCAGAAGAGGGATTGGTTATACATCATTTGGCGGAATCGTGGGCTTGCGTCGTAACGGGCCGCAAGTGCTTCTCGATATGGTCTTCCCGCGTTGGCGTTGACTGCTACTACATCTTCGATGAAGTAGTATACACCAGGCTTCACCGGCTCCCCCTTGCCTGTAGAACTGAGGCGGAACGGCGCTTTCCAATGATGCACATTATAAAAGGTGAGCAGGCCCGAAACGCCACCTAAGGTGTATAACAAGGACGGCGCAGGCATGCAAAGAACCCTTAGCCAGACGATGTGTGGAGCGCTTCCAATAATGAATAGTGCTGTGACCGCGGTTATGGAGACCACTGATGCCCATGTGACCACATCGAAGCACCAGCGACTGTTTGTCCCTAGTGGCCGGTAGAAGCTCTCCTTCTTGATAAGGCTCAAACTCCGGATGGCAAACTCGAGATATGTGGGACCTCCCCAAACTGTTGTGACGACGGCGAAGGTGATCCAGTTTTGGACGTCGCCGCCATAATAAAGTCCGTAGTAAAGGGCAATAGGCACAATACATGCATCAATCCACATCACGAGGACGATGGCGGAGAGTCTGAAACGCCGGCCACCGTGACGCCAAGTGAACGGTAACTGCGGAAGTAGATGTGGATTCTGCTTGTAGTATTCTTGAAGGGTACTAGCTCGTCGACGAAATTCCTTTTTCGTGGCAGCGCGACTGTCATAATACGCTTCTGCTTGAGCGCGGTGTATGCTATCGCACCGTTCAGCTCGGTGGTGGTCGGCATGAGGGTAGCAAGAACTAGGGCTTGCCGCATCGTTTATTGTAGGCTGGAAAATGACCTGGCCGAAGCCACTGGGTGATGTGGAAGAGTCTGGAGGGACAATGTTTCGACCAGGACTCAAGGGTGTCGATACATGCAAACTGGGACGAAATGGGTCGTCGACCGGCCCACTGCGGGATGTGATTTCAGGCATGATGAGTAGTCGGTAGTAAAGAGCTGAAGGGAAAAAAATACGTTTCAGCAGATGCTACAGACTCTCACTTTCAGGCCACTTAATTCAGCGACTAGTTACAGGATTGATTGAATGAGCCAATTTAAAGGCTTTCATTTCGTCAACCCCTCGATTGAAGTCCATGATGCAGTACCTTTTGGCCTGGGGCTAAACACTTGTACCAAGCCTGGTAGAGGCTCCACCGGTGTGAGATAGGCCTGCTCCTTACTGGCCGCCGGACAATTCCAACGCATAGGCGTTTGATTTGCAGCTAGCCACAACGGCCAAGAATACGCAAAAAAAACCGCAGTAAATCACCACAGTCTCGGCAAGCTAATCCAATCAAGTCGAATTCCCCTATTTGTATTATGACGAGGTGCCGGTGACAGATATGAAATACAATTGACGTGGATACGTATCGCAAGAAGTTTGCAGAATGCTGGCCGTGGCAACTTCGAGGTCAAACAGCGTCGGAAAACGCAGAAATCCCTCATTTCGTGGTCCATCATACAGTACTTCTTAGCGTGGGGCTGACCACTTGTACCAAGCTTGTAGAGGCAACACTGGTGTGAGAGGTAAGTCTGTTCTAACTGGACATCGAAAGGGATTGCAGCTTGCCACAAATGGCCAAGAATACGCAAAAAGCATCGCAGTGGATCGCCACAGTCTCAGTAACCTAATCCAAAGGAATCGAATCAGACAGATAAAGCCTACATCCAGATGCACACAATGTCAACGTCGTCCTTATCGATGGACTCATTGCCGATGGATATGCCCATGAGGCCCATGCTCAAACGATCCTGTCACTCAACAATAGCAGCAGCAGAGTAGACAGTCTCAGGTATGAGCATGCTGCGGCCGCCAGGAGCCACCACGTCATTGGTGGCCACGATGTCAGGCATCGCAGACACATCCACTCTGGGACCTAAAGCATGCAGTATGCAGATGATGTTCAGGCCATGCTTTAACGCGCGCTCTTTCCCACAAGAGACTTTTAAGACTTGCACAGGACCGTAAGTACTACTTACCAAGATGCGAATGCTTTGCAATTTTACATCATGCTTGGTGAGAAAAGGGTGAGCCAGTGCCAATCCTGCTGGCCCTCGTGATGTCTACGGGGCCTCTCACCCATCTGTAGTGCGTACAGGCGTCGAGGTCCCCGTAACTCCCAAAATCAATTCACCATGCTAGGTCGGGATTGACGGGATCAGAAGAAGCAAAGCTCAAACGGCTCCTGGAGTCCTGTCGTTGGTTGACTAGGACACAAGCTGGAAGCGAGCACCGGGGTGAAGTGCTGTGGAGTGCCGCAAAAGTGCCACCATTTCCTCATTTCACGCGGAGCAGGGGAAAAGCCACGACAATCACAAATATGATGCAAGAGAACATGATGTTTCTCCGGACATGCTTCAATATCCGTTTACCTCGGGGACGCCCTGCATCATCCACTGTGGTTTCAACACGCTCGGGCCGTCATCCGTCTGCTCCGATAGGCGGCAGATACTGGTGTGAGTTTCGACAGTACGCTAAGGATGACCAGTACAGTATATTTCCCGGATTCGAATGCGCACTTAGAATTCCGTGCGACCCGTGCAACTTATGCAATGAGTGCAAGCGAGCGTTGATGGCCCTTCAAGTCCTTGTAGATCTAGAAGAACGTCTCTCAGCAATTACAGTCCAGCTCCGGGCTTCCGACACACCAATCAGCTTCTAGTTCGTACTCTGCGCTTGTTGTAACTCGTACGTCCTAGCCTTCTCATGATTCGCAACGGCATGTGCGGCATGACTTATACAACACATGGATCGAGCTGCGGGAGGGTGATTTGCTGGAAACGTTGAAGGCCGACGAGGTCATGCCGAAGTGGTTTGACCTTCTGCTGTTGGGACAGTACGTTTACGTTCTCAACAGGTTCCTCCCAGCTTGCCAACAGACTCGTGCCGACGACATGCAGCCTGGGTGCCTCTTGCACTTCCTACCCTCAAGTTTGTCCAACCATTGCTCAAGTATGGTGCTGTTGCCATCACGGACACTGTGGGAATAGCAAAGCTCTTGTACAGGGACTTTCTGGGGTATATACACATTCCAGAAAACGGACTCAGGAGTCTTGCATTACCCTACTTTGGGGCCTGGAGCTATCGGTGTATTTACATACGGATGAACATATGCAAGCGAGTGTTTATGGAGAGGTGGCAGCAATGGGAGTATTGCTACGCAGTGCTCAGAGTGGCTATTACTGCTGCCCTCCTCGCCTTTTTGGTCAGAAAAAAGACAGAAATGTATGCCCAGTGTCCCGTACAACGAAGACAACATCAATTTCTGGACATCACTGTCGTCTATCGTTCATACTGTGGAGCTCACCCTATTCAACCTTGCATCGAAACCTCTTAGAGCGGAACACGGAAAAAAGCGTTTAAAAACAGGACGCCAATGACGAAAGTGAATCTTTCCCTTCAGCGCCTGGCGTAGCGACAACTGTACATACGGCGTCATCATTACATCACTAGGCATCCGTGCTAGGTACATAAAAATGGCTTGTTACCACCTCGATAGTCTTTCCAATCTCAATCCATCCACCACGATCATCAGAACTTGAAAATAAACTTAGTACTCAAATTACAATACGCAAAATCTCTCAATATGGCATGCGGCTGTGGACCTGGAGGCGAGAAATGTCCCTGCAATGGGCCAAAATCTTGCACCTGCTCCCAGAACTGTCAATGCAAGGATTGTGGGGTACGTGAGAAACCTGATCCTTTTTTTGAAGAAAATAGAATTCTGATCCCGTGCGAAGAAATGAAAGGATGTTCTCAACGAAGTGATTGCTGAGAGATGTGGACTTGCAAAGCAGAGATACGTTGGTCGCTTTTGCTATGAAGCAGCACCGCAGAGATGGAGGGGAGGAAAGAAGATGCCGTTTTATTCACAGAAAATTCCCCCAGAACACTTACTCTACACTCATTAGCATCCTTACTCCCATCATTAGTATAAATGATAGTGGTTGTAAGGTCCTGAAAATCATCAAAACTTTATGTGAAGCCGAATTTCACTTCTGGATGAATGAAATGCTTCCGTACACCACAATTCATACCACAAACCACATCTTTGGCGTAGCTTTGCCGGCTGGCTGCCGGCCAATTTTGTGCGGCTGCCATTGCAATGGCCTGGATATACTGGCGTCGCGTCACGGTTGTTGTAACATTGCTGATATTACTGATTAGGATTAAGTGCACACCAGGAATGGTAAGCTTCTAAACGACCGTACCGGTCAACATTACTCTGCTAGAAAACTCGCATCCAACCCTACTCGGAGCTTTGTTGAAGCAATCTCTCCCTGTACAATGATCCTGTCAGTAAGGATCTGAAGAAAGGCGACGTCGATGAAGCTGCTGCGCGCAACGGCGCCCCGCAGTAGCGAAATCGGCGATTCGTTGCGGCTTTTGTGCGTATTTCTTGGCGATGGCCATGTCTCAGCACGTCCCGTCCTAAAAAGCTTGCCGGATATGCACACCAGTCATCGACTCTAATGGCATCGCTCAACCTGATGACCTTTCAACATACACTACATATATTAGTAGATGATCTTTATCACGGTACTAGTGAGGCGATATGCGCTCCAGCGTTCCGCAATCTGTGCTTCGGTCAGGCACGTCAACAAAGACCCAGTTCCCTCCAGGATAGGCATTGTCCCACGTTAGATACAATACCAATAGTGGCGGATTTATTGGCTTCATCGTCCCTGACCTGCAGCCGCCTAGTCTCTGGATTCGGACTGAATAGCGCTCGTGAAGAGTCTTGAGGCTATTGTGCGGTGCTCCTTCCTGCAGCCCAATCAAGGAGGGAATCCATGTTGCCAAGTTTCCGCTAGTTCACGCATGGATTTCTGCAGCGAGTCCATCCTGACAAGTCGCGCCATTCAGTGGCAGATTACGCAACAGGGAAAGAGCTCAGAAGGACTGGCACCTTTTCATAGAGCTACGTATTTGCAGATCCATGTGTTTTAGTCCCAACTCAAAAGCTGTGCCAATGTCAATTCGTCGGTTCTCACTCCTCGCTACCGTCTGCTCAAATTGTATTCACTCCGGAATTTTCTCAGCGTGTATAGGTCTGTGTTCAAACCGGAGTCCGTAGGTCCAACGGAGCGCCACGCATCCATACATAGCCTTGGCCAGCTCGTGAATAGGCGTACGGTGGTTTTTTGGGCCTTCGGACCATGGAATCCCTACTCTTGCTGCTTGATTGGTTCCCCCGCATAATCCAACGAGTCTTTGCGCAGGAGTCCTGCTCATTTATTCTATGCCGTACCCCCAAGCACTCTTCCTCAGCCAGCAAGTGCTGGGCCCAGTGTGAGTCAGTCGATGACACGGCTGATGTTTGGAAACTTGCGTCTCGACCATGGCACCTCTACCGGGAACCTCAAACACGGGGCCTCCCATCTTGTCCACTTTCAACGCGACCAAGAGCCGGATTCCCATTGCTAGCGAGACTTCCATGTACTGTGTGTTTGACCGAACCACTTCCAGTAATTCAGTCACGTCTGTCGAAGCAACCACAGCCGCGAAGGCGAGGAGGATGGCATCGAACCTGAAAACCCCTGTCGATCCTTTACCACCAGCAACAACTGCGCTTGGACTATCGACTAGCTGTACACAAGATAACTTCGGTGCATCGAGGAGCTTGCCCACCGACTTTGCCAGCATGTTCAATACTAGCTCTGAGGCTGTTGACGCCTGTGTCATTGCTACCACGACTGCAACACATGCAGGGGGCGGCTGTGGGTCCGTTGCTTCGGCGAGACAAAGAAGTTGTAGGGGGATACCATGCTCACCTGCGCTTCAAGCTGCTGCTGCTGTGCCAGTTGTGGTTGCTGTGCTTGCCACCATGACCGTGCTATTCTTCTGCATACTCCCAAGGTGGAAGCATTGGAGAGCTGGAGAAGCCGCCAAGAGAAGTCCGGAAAAGAAGTGGACTAGACATCTGCGACTGTTTGCTTTCGACGCTGAGCTTCTAGCAGATGGTCGCCTCTCCAGCACGAACAGTATCAGGAAAGAAAACCGTGTGAGAAGTGGCCAAAACACTGTACACAGTGCTTTGCCTCGCAGACAAAGCGTCGAAGACGTTGTCCCTCGATGTCACTGTTCTATGAGCTCTGTTCAGCCTGCCAAAACACGGAGCAGTTTGCTATCTTCCGCGGGCCTTCGCGCCATGGCGGCGACCCAAGACCACATACAAGAATACTCGACAACCGCGACTGCTCCTCCAACCTACGCCGTTGCAACTGGCGAGACCCCCAGAGGCCCCGATTCCCAATCCCGCTAGCACATATTTCCTCGCAATTTCGAGTCCTGTCGGCTCTGTCAAGAGTTGCGAAGTCAATGCCCCTCTGATGAGGATGCGAATTCGTAGAAGACCAAGTCGACATGAGTGTGCGCTTACGTGTTTCGGAAAAGGGGAAGGCACAAACACAGATTGGTACAGTGCGGAAATGGTCCTCGTCTGCAAAAGACGTGTAAACAAACCGTTAAGATCCATCAGGTTGAGTTTTGACAGCCGGATATATCAGCAAGTCATCAAATTATACTGTTAGCATAGCATGAGCCGGCGGAGTGTTCAACGCCTTCCGAACCTCCGACACTGTTGTTGGACAAGTTAAACGCTTCTCACATTAGCGGCTAATTATCGGCCTTATTCCATCCTGTGGGAGGCAGGTTAGGGACCCACTGGTGCGTCTTTTGTGCGTATTTTCGGTTTCGTATACCCAAAATTGGCTGTCGCTGGGTCGCTGCGAGAAATGGAACTAGAGTCCAGCAAGGATGCTGTCATAGCAACGCATTGACGCTTCCGAGGGATATGTCGCCTGCGTATTCAACCGGCCATGCCATGGACAGATAAAAGCTGGGCAGCACAGTGGAGCTTCTAAGTGTGCTACACTCGCCAGCCAGCAAGGGTCTTTACTTGCCCATCCTCGCGTGCTTGGTATGACCCTGATCGAATCCCATTGGCAGGCCGCTTTCCGCGCTACTCTAGCTCTCCTGCCTTACTATTGTCTCTTACCTGTGCAAATTACTTCCGATGTTGATGGGCTTTCTTAGTCGGAAAGACTAGGCTGGCGAGACTATTTGGCTCAATGTGCGCAGATTCACATCATTCCTGCATTAAGTCTCAACGGGGGGCTGCATGATGCGCCTCTGTTCATAATGATAAGGGGTCGTTTCCAAGAATCCTTCAAAATCGTGGAACATGCATGCTGAGCCTAGGGGCAACTTCTTCTCCAACCGGTTTGGAAAAGAGATCCTTCCAATTGCAAGGCTCGCTCGCAAAGCGGGAGGCAGTAATCGCTAGAAAGGAAGCCCACTGGAGCAGGACTGTTGAGGTCATCGGTCCTTTGAGGTCCACAGCGTTACGACCTGCAATACGTCTGTCTAGGTGCTTGCTCCGGAACATGGCTCCTTGTCGCTGAGATCTCCCTGCCGACGGAAGTAGATGTTAGCATGAAAGAAGTGGTATTTATCAGAACGATTCCTCCATGTGAAGGTCGAGCAGATATCCTTCTGTGATACTATCTCCTTTATAGTACTGTAACGCCAAAGAACTGACGATGGCATTCTGGGGAGTCATCACTCCGCTCTTCCTCTTGACAATATTTGCATCCTATTCGCTCGCTGCACCTTACCTTAACGGAACCACAAGAACATATTATGTGGCAGCCGTGGAGCAAGACTGGGATTATATGCCCACGTCAGTCATGTTCCTAAGAGCATGAGCGAGATACATCAGCTGACATGGGATAGTGGTATGGACATGGTGAACGCGGTGCCCATCGAAGACTCTCCGCAAGCCGCTGCAGTCGCGGGACAGAACGGGCAGAGAATCGGACATGTGTACAAAAAGGTCCTCTTTCGCGAATACACTGACGGCGGCTTTACCGCCCAGACGCCCCGTCCAAGCGTTTGTTGATCTCAGATGCTGGATATGAAGGAGTTGCTAATCTGACTTTGCAGTGGCTGGGCATGCTTGGTCCGATTATTCGTGCGGAGGTCGGTGACACCGTTAAGGTTGTCTTCCGAAACATGGCATCCCACAACCACACGATGCACCCACATGGCTTCCGTTATGCAAAGAGCAGCGAGGGATTGTCTGATGCCATGCAAATGTTTGATGGTAATGCCGTGCCACCAGGCGGGACTTGGACGTATATCTGGGAGGCCCCAGGTAGGGCAGTCTCCTTTGCTTTATGGTGCGTGCTAATGTGAGTGCGCAGAACGTTCTGGCCCAGGCCCGTTGGATCCTCCGGGGCTTGCTTGGACCTATCATTCAGACGCTGCAGGTACTCAAGACGTATTCAGTGGTCTTGTGGGTGCTTCGATCATCTATCGTCCCGGGGAACTGGCAAAACATACTTTAGATGTCCCAGCCCCTCCCGGCTCGAATCTGATCGAGGAAGTACTGACGCTCTTTTTGATCGTGGACGAAAATCAATCGTACTATATCGACGAGAACACGCTTAACAGGACCAGTATTTCCGAAGGCCAGCTTCAGGTGAACAGAATGGATGCCGGCTTCCAAGAAAGCAATCTGAAACACAGCATCAATGGTTTTATGTTCGGCAATCTCATGGGCATCAACCTTACTGCAGGCACTCAGGCCACCTGGCATGTTGTATGTGATCAGTTCGCCATCATTAGATGATGGTACGAGGGCTAACTAAGTGTTATAGGAAGCGCTGGGGAACGTTGTCAATGCGCATACACCTCACTGGCACGGGAACACACTGATGTGGGCACAGCAGCGAATTGATATCGTAAGCACGTTTGGACTTCTGCGCAGGACCAGAGGTACGCTGACTATGCTCACAGATTAGTGTTCTACCTGCACAAACAAGGTCATTGGTCATGACGGTTGATAACCCTGGCTCCTGGATCCATCACTGCCAAGTTCTCAATCATCGTGATATGGGAATGATTTCCATGTACACGGCAGGCTGAATTTCTTCATGTGCCATTTACAGCGATGAAGACTGACGCGGTTACCCTACGAGCTACCGACCTAGTATGGGAAATCTCAAAATCACAATTTAATCCGCGGGAAGGAATGAGGAACCATGAATCCCATAAGCACATTCCTTTTACAGCAATCTTGGCTACTAAAGTCGAACGCACATTATATTACACACCCTGCCGGAATTTGTTGGGCTGCTGATTTGCACGGTGCCGCATCTGGACTGGCTGAGGAAGGTGGACACGCTCTTTAATTCAGATTTGAAACTCTGTCGATATAGGTAGCCTAATGCTTGGTCTACCAATCACAAAACTGTTGCTGCGCTCGGAAAGTGGTAATGCACGGATCAGCACGAAGTATGAATAAAAGATCACGAAATTTATTGACACAATAGGGGAGCAGCTGAAAACAGTAGGAAATTAGTGAGACACAAAACATGCGTCAAGTTGAGTATCTTCTCCGTCCATTCCCGGGATTTTCCTGATCCCCAAATTCGGAGCAGCACCTATTTTGTATGTGGCTGCCGCACGTGGAGATCTTGATTGTGCACGCTACCGGTGCAGGACGATGCAAAGAGGACACGTCTCTATCGCCCTATGGACTACTGCGGGATGTGATTTCAGCCATGATGAGTAGTCGGTAGGTAAAGGGCTGAAGGAAAAGAAATATGTTTCAGCAGGTGCTACAGACTCTCACTTTCAGGCCAGTCAATCCAGCGACTAGTTACAGGATTGATTGGATGAGCCAATTTAAAGGCTTCATTTCGTCGAAAACGTGCTGCGCTCTCCGTCGGTAAGCCAAGTCTGCAGAATACTGGCCGTGGCAACTTCTGACCGGTGATTCGTTTGACTTTTTGACATGGGGACTCTGTGTTTTGACAAGGGGACTCTGTCCACTAGTTCCAGTCTGGGCCTTGGAGAGATCGAATGGTGCGGAAAAACGCAAAAACCCCTCGCTTCGAAGTCCATGATGCAGCACCCCTTTGGCCTGCGGCTGACCACTTGTACCAAGCCTGGTAGAAGCTCCACCGGTGTGAGATAGGCCTGCTCCTTACTGGCCGCCGGACAATTCCAACGCATAGGCGTTTGATTTGCAGCTAGCCACAACGGCCAAGAATACGCAAAAAAAACCGCAGTAAATCACCACAGTCTCGGCAAGCTAATCCAATCAAGTCGAATTCCCCTATTTGTATTATGACGAGGTGCCGGTGACAGATATGAAATACAATTGACGTGGATACCTATCGTAAAAAGCAGAGATCCCTTTTCTCGCGGCGGGTGAGCGCACTCTTTTTGTATACCTGTATGAACATGCTATTGTTATCGTATGTCGTCGTGTTCCTCCTGTCTTCCCACCCGCAGAGTATCCATGCCGCCCTTCGTTCATACAATCTCACGTTACATACTGGCACTAATGCCCTCTTCCTGACAACATCACAGATGGCGTGTCCCGCGAAGTCTATCTCATCAACGATCAACAGCCTGGGCCGTTGATCGAGGCTGACGAGGGAGACGACTTGGAGATCTTCGTGCTAAACAATCTCCCCGTCGAGCAGACAATTCACTGGCACGGTCGGTTCTTCCCTCAACACGAAATTCTTTGCACATGAGGTTCGTGTAGTAGAAGAGGGTGGCTAAGATGTGGGTTATAGGCCTCCTTCAACGTGGTACGCCAGACATGGACGGCGTTCCCGGTGTCACTCAGGTCAGTTGACTTAGCGTAACCCGCTGGCTTTCACAGTGCTGAGATAGATGTAGTTTCCGATCCCGCCCCAAGGGAATTTCACTTATCGGTTCTCGACCGGGTCAGAATACGGCTTCTATTGGTATCACTCTCACTTTCGAGCCTATTACAACGATGCCGTACGCGGGCCACTCTTGATACGTCCTTCACCATTGCGCCGCCGCTCGTTCGAGGGCTTTGCACGCGATAGCACGGAATTAGACGCGATGTTACAAGCCGAGCGAGCCGCGACGCCGCTTGTGTTGACCGACTGGTATCATCGGCTCTCAGATGTTGTTTACGAGGAATACTTTACCACCGACGCCTTCCCTCAATGTGTCGACAGCCTTCTGGCAAATGGATTTGGGAGAGTCCAGTGTTTGCCTGAAAGTGTCCTGCAGGCCGGTCCCGGACTGAGATTGGAGTCTATTGTCGCCAGCGATCCTCACGACCCTCTGAGTACGCCGGTGCCTACGGCGTCTGCCAGTATGTCTGACATGCCGATAGACACAAGTTCAGGTATTGGCACTTCGATGGAAACAATGTCATCGTCACCCCTATCGATGGACTCAATGTCGATGGATATCTCCATGAACATGCACAAACGAGCAGATCATGCAACAATGACAGCAGCAGACTCGACAGTCTCTGGTATGACCATGCTATCCGCCAGCAGCACTTCCACGTCCCCAATGGAGACCATGTCTGGCATAGCCGACATGTCCAGTCTTGGTCCTAAAGGTTGCAGTATGCAAATGATGTTCAAACCAGGCTTTAACACAAGTTCTCTGCCACCAGAGACATGTATTAACACCGCGTCAGAACTGTTCAAGTTTGATGCTGATGCCTCTCAAGGCTGGGCGGCTTTTCATCTGGTCAACGCAGGTGCCGTGAGCAGGCTTAGTGTCTCACTCGACGGACACTCCATGTTCGTCTACGCTGCAGACGGACTCTATGTGGAGCCGCAAGAGGTCAAGGTCGGTTGCTACCGGTGCCATTTGGACGTCCTTACTGAATATTGCAGGTTCTACACATCTCGATTGGCCAGCGGTATTCTGTAATGGTGAGACTCGATCAGGAACCAGGGGCCTACTACCTGCGGTTTGCTTCGTATCCGTACGGTGACATGCAGCAAGTCATCGAAGATCAAGCAATTCTGTCTTACCAGGTAAGGATATAAACTCTAGTATTTAATTAGCAATCTTGCTAACTTATTGCAGACTAATGGCACCAACAAGAAAGAATATGGGCCCAGTGAATGATCCCGCTATGACCTGGATGCTTGTAAACGGGTCAGCGAAGCTTAACGCTTCCGAGCTGGACGGTTCAATTCGTCGATTACTACACTTTCGACTTCGTCATTCTTCTCATCTCCTCGTGAGCAGACAAGGTAGCAAAGAAACAGTTGATCGGCTCACCGACATCTGGCCCTCCATCACTCGACTCACTTCGCCCAATAGTGGTCGTCCACGTTGAAACGGAGGTTAGCTAGATTTCTGACTCGTATGGTGCAGCTTCTTACAGTACTATGCAAGCAGTTCACATGTCACGAGGGACCTCTGGCCCACTGATTTTAGGTAGACCTAGCCAGTTAAATTAGGCCTAGGGCCATCGTTACGGCCAGTGAGAGCATCAAAGTATGGATCCCTGTCACGATGTTTTCTCTTGTGTTCTAGTCGGACATGGTTGGTGAGTTTTGCTGCCTTGATACTGTAGATCATAAGCTAGCAGCCATTCCAGGAAGGTGGACGTGCTGGCCAGGCCAATGACAGCTTACCACGTCGACAATGTGTTTGTCGCGTAATCGCGGATCCTGATGCGCATGATGGCTGATGAAATTCCCTCAGATGTAGTCGTGCCGACAGGAGACAATTTCCGCAGGACTTCGGCCGGCCGACCCCTCAATATCTTTTATATCAGCGGTCATTATCGTCTCTTCGATACCTTGGTGACGACGGCAAGACGAACAGAACGCCCTAAAGCTCTAGTATGGAACCCAATGCCTTTGAGGCATCGCTGAGTGAACAGTAGCAGAAAGCTACCTACGATGATGGAGGCTCTAGACCAAGCCCTCGGTGCCTGGCTATCTCCTCCTCCTGCTGTTGCGCCCGACTGTATCAAGTGTGGCAAACCCACCGTATGGGATGTTACCAAAACCTCAAACCGCAAAGGGAATGCTGGCCGACCATACTATATATGCAAGCCTCGTCGAAAATTCCATTGCTTCGCCGACACTCGCGGCAATGATCCCAGAAATCCGGCTTGTTTCTGTGGTGTATCTAGCAAGACACAGGTTTCTGGCGCAGATAAAAAGACTGTCCGAGGAGTACACTACGTTTGCCGAAGGGGCAAGTGCGATTATTATAGGCTTTGTTTGGACGACCAAAATCAGCAAATCTCCCTGCCGAAACACTCGTGGACTCTTTCGCTAGGCTTGGTATCATTTGAAATGTAGGCGAATGAGAAAGAAGATGAGTAGCGCGCATTGAACCCAGATTCTTCTTTGACTTGCTTACTCAATGGCTTCTAATGATATTAAAATCTTGCGCCGATTTTTGTACTGTTCCACGAGACAAACAGGTGTATTTGGTAGAGCCAACCATAGAAAGGGCGAGTGTCCCTGTGGATTTTGCTGGCGGTACTGTATGAGAAGGTCACGTTCACTTGCTGAGCTAATAATGTGGTGTCGTGGTGCAAACAACGGACCACTGGCAATGGCAGGAGACATCGACGAAGGAAAGCACCAAACATGGTGTTGCGGCAGCGAGACTATGGCAGGCCGGGAACTAGTAGACGCGGCGCTATTTGTTCGCCACAGACTGTCATCCCCTAAGGGCTGTGAACTGAATTTATTTTTCAGGAGCCAATACCTAAGGGCCGGTGATCACTGATGTTCACTTCTGATTACTGTGGTGGTTCTGGGTTCGTCCGTGCACTCGGGGTGATGGCCAGCGGCATCTTTTGCAGCGCGGTAGTCAGCCGCTTCGTTGCCGGGAACTCCTATAAGTGCATGTATCCACCCGCGCTGAACTTCCCACCCTTGGTCGCGAAGCTTGCCCGGTGCTCGGGTAGCCTCGAGTAGAATATACTGTCTTGAGAGGCGCTTAGGGTTGGCCATCGCGCGAAAATGCGACCATATGTACCTAGCAAAGTATGTCGCTTCAGTGTCTGCATCTTTTGACCCGAGTTGGGATCCCAGAGCTTAACGGAGCCATCGAGGAAGAACAAGAAGTCAGTTCACCCAAATTAGCAAATAATCCCCCTAAAATCTGATGGAAATGAATCCGTCAAGTAACGCAGGCGAGGCATTGACAGACGAATGTTTGCGGAATCTCCGGGCTGGTTTCTCCCGAACATCAAGGGACACGACTGACTGATGAAGCTGCCCCAATGTCGCTGACTAACAGAGGCCTAGAACTCGACGTGCTGCTCTGCAATGGGGAGTCGAGTCGGACTGAATCTCGCGGAGAAAGAGAAGTGGGCGCAAAAGGCCCCAGCCTTGTCGGCATCTCACAGGGCAGTATCGAAGGCAAACACCTATACCGGATAGGCATTGGATTATTGTCCTTGCAGTATCTCAATTCGGGTCCCGACTCGGAGCCACCTCGCCATTTCAGGCGCCAGCCTGGTTCAGGCACATTGCTAGTTTTTGATCCAGACAAAGGGGAATACGGCGTATGCGAAGACCAAGACGAATGTGAGTGCCATGCCATCCGTGTAGCTGAGACGGAAATAATACTTACAAGCCTAGCTACTACTATTAAAGTTTCTTTCAAGATCCACTGTTGCGTCCCCGAATCTTCCTCGAGTCCCCAATGAATCATTCCGTCAAAGTCCTCGGACCTCAGCTATTGCCTTCGCCTAGGCGGTACCAGAGGAGAAAGATACGAGCTCGCCGTCGCCGTCCCGCACCTACATTCAAGCCAGGTGTGTCCTTCTCGGATTCCGTGTTCATGGTGTCTTCTATTATCGGAACATGGTAATAAAGAGCTTCTGGGGATATACCCTCATCAGGAAAAGAGCTGAGTGGGGATCGGAAGCTTCCCTTTTCTTGCGTGCTTTTGGCGCCTAAACTTCACCGTTGCTACTAACTTGAAAGGCGACACGATTCCTGGCTTGGGAGTGATCGGATGTCAGCTTGTCAAGAAAGCCGACTCGCGATCCGGAAACCCGTTCGAGGACGACCCCACTACAGGCATTGCTGAGGTCTTGTATCATAGCAATGCGAAGGAGATAGAGCTAGCAAAACCATGTTATATTTACAACGGGGACGACATCTGCATCTCTGCCTCGATAACCAAAAGGGAGTTTCTACGCCGATCTACATATACTCTCTATCTGGACATGAGCTGGTCTGCCTAGCCGGACGCGATCAGGCTGTCTTGGGTTTGCGCGACACATCAGCTGAGACTGGGCTTATGTGGGTGTACATTGCTTTCAACATTGTAGGCTCTGCCGCCATTTACAGGCTTCTTCGAGTGCCCAAGGAGGGCAAGAAAGGGTGAAATCCAGTGCGTATGAAATGGCGGTATATCGATAATCAACCACTTGGCAGCATGAATTCTTGAAGCAGTTATTTTATTTTATCAGCGAGCCCTTGGTCTGGTGTAAGGTTTACACGCGGATTGCCGCAAAGCATGCGACCTCTCAGGGTGGAAGTGGAGGTATGAGTACCGTCACTAGAACCTCTGGATTCGAATGACATGGAGTTGGGCCCTCCCGACATTAAAGGGCTGGAAGCGATACGCCCTCCGACACCCCCGCCGCCGGTGATGAAGGCAACAAAGATAATGACGACATTGACTATGAGAGTGAGAGCAGTGACCTTCTATCTCTCTGAGAGATCTTCAGGCAGCGCAACGCACAATTTGGGACCAGTTATACGACGTCCCCAAATTGAAGGCCCCTACATGCACACTAACTTGGTCTTCCAGTGGAAGGCCCAGGTTGCCTTGAAAGCGTGCCTGGGTGTACAGTATGTATGGAGGCACGTGGTATTCTAAATATAGGTTGAGGCACGTGAGTAGAGGAATCTAAGTTGCGACACGTGACGTTCATTTGATCTTTGCAGAGACTTGTCGAGAACGCGGGCTTCGGCCCCTTCAACGGGAGCGCAAACGACACAAAACCTGAACATGACCCTGTCTCCACTGACCTCAAAATTGCACCGTAACGTCGCACAGTGTTTAGTCTTATGAGTGCTAATGTCTCAAGTAAAGAAGCTCTTGACCAGGCAGGTGTCCTGGCAGGATGGCTCATGGAGGACGAGTCATACCGTGGCAGTGCTGAAATCGCACAATGGAGTCACCCAGACCGAACGCAGCGAGTCAAACCTGTGATCAACGCGATGAATATAGCGATACCCTCTAATTGTCCATTATATGCGTGCAGTCTCTAATTGCTATCTCAAGGCCACAGGCAAAGCCGCCTTCCTCCTCCGTTGTCGCGGTCCCTGCAACACATTCCTCGAAATCCCTCGGTATGATCATGTCTCGATTGAAGAATGAGTCGAGAATCTCTTCATGGGAGACAGAATTCACTATGGCCGTAGGGCAGGCCGGCTTGCAATTATGACTTGGGTATATGCACGAGCGGGCAGCAACTATGGATCACAAAGAAGGGAGGGTCTGCGTGGAGCCATGGACAACAATACGTTGTCCTGTCATTAGGGCAGACTGATTCAGTCAGACTCAGGGAGGGTGGAGCGTTCATGATCGAGATTTCGGGGTTGATGGCCTTGAACGGACGAAGTGACCCTGCAACACGAGGCTGCATACTGGAATAGGAAATGGCGGAATTGCCGGCCAAGTTGTGCAAGAGCAGGTAGAATCCAGCTCAGGAGACGTGAATTCCCTCAAGCATTGTGAAACATGTTCCAAAATCAATGGCATATCTGAGTATTCTTGTGCAGTTGTTCAATTCCGTGCTTCCTGCTGTCTGTCAGCGCCCAGCGCCTGATCCTCATATTGTATGCCTCAACACAGTGCCAATATGTTTTTGTGTACGTTGTGAAAGCTGTGGTTGTCGCCGAGCACAGCATGCCATCATCTTCCCCTTCCACGACCCATTAAACAATGATTTTAGAACAAGCCCATGCTTGATAGCCCAACAGCAACCACGGGAATCCAGCAAGTGATAGCGAAATATTCCGCAAGATTGGCGTTACCAGATGCGGTATTCGTCGATGGCGTAGCGCCGGTTGCAATGCTAGATGTGGCCGAGCTCATCATGGAACCAGTCACGGTATCCATCGTCATTGAAGGGTCCATGGTCGAGGCCATCGTCATCGAGGGGTCCACGGTCAAGGCCATCGTTATTGAAGGGTCCACTGCGCCGGAGGACATGGACATTTGACCAAAGCCACTGCTGGCAAAGAGAATGGAGGTAATGATGGAACGGGCCAACATTCTAGTGACGATCAAAAGAGTGGATGAACTTGTTTTCTTTAGGAATGACGGTGGAGTGACGAGTGAGGATGCGCAAATGAGGATGAGTAGGATATGAATACTGGAATTCAAATCATATGTTGCTCAAGAGTGCGAACAGGACCTTTAATAGTTGTCACTCGAGCCGCAGAGTCTCCTCAAACTTGTACCTGTGGCCAATCAGAGAAGCCTTGAAAGGAGTAGACTTGCTTCTTATCACTCATTGTCTCATTCGCGTCGTAGGCACGCACTAGTAACCTCCCAACAACCAGTCAACTACATGGCTTTGTCCAAAGGACGGCTGAACGCCCAAGAGAGAAGAGAAGAAAGGGGGCTTGGCGCTGTCCTATCATGAAGCTGCGAGATTTGTGCGCCTTTTAGCGTTGACTTCATGATTCTTGGCTGGTCGATCTTTCTACGGCCAAAACGACTACTCCGCTGTCGCGCACAGCCAATGAAATGGAACTCTGAGTCTGCAATGCCTCGTCCCCAATCTTCGATCGAAGTTGAAGCCCAGGTTGCAATGCGCCATGTCTGATATTCCACAAAGTGTTGTTTAAGGTGCCTTGCTACAGCTATCCGAGAGATCTCCAGCTAGATTACGAATCGAGACTGCATGCTCCTCAAAGTGGACTGCGTCGGTACCGCTGAACTCTATCCTAGAACTTCTCTCATTTCCCGAAATTGTCCCCTTATCGTTCGACCTTGCAAGTCAACGAAAGCTTCCTGAAAGCCAGTTATGATCAAGCTCTGGTGCGACAAATTGGGCCAATACACCGAATCACGAATTGTGGGCGCCAACAACCTGGAAAGGCATGGGTTGTTAGTCAAAGCTCGTGATTCGAAGGGGGGTTTCCTCAATCCATCTTTTCCACCTCAACTCAAAGACAAGCAAACGCAAAGTGCTTGGGCACTTTGGTATCCCTCCTCACGTGCACCATTACCACTGATCATTATTCCACCACATAAGACGGGATCGCTCTGTAGAATTCAAAAGAGCAGAAGATTGCCTTGCGATTCTCTCCCGTCAACACCAAAATGACGTACCTTGCCCACAACCTTGTATCGGTTGGTGAAGAAAGTATACCACTCGTTAAGGACAGTCTTGTATTGGTCTTCGAGGTCATGCCATTCGGGAACACAGTCTTCAGGGCTGAGGCTGGATGTTGCCAGGGCACGGGAAGGATCCTTGCCCGCGTAGACTAGAAAGCAAACTACATCAATTCTCTGACAGAAAGACGCTGGATGTGTTCTCCACCACTGCGCAGCGCAATGTTGGAAGGGACGCTTGGGAGGCCGCCATGAGAGATATTGTCTAGAAGGTGGCCTTTTCTCTCGCCAGGACTGTAGAGGAAGTCAGTTGCATACCGTGGTAAGGTCCATTGGGTCCGTAGGCTGGGTTTCGAGAAACATCGAACACGATCCCTTTAATCGCTACGAGCGTTGGCTTGAATGGATGGGTTCCTGGCTCGGACAAACGTTAGCATCTAGACCTGTGTCTGCCTGCAACTGTTCTAGAGTCTTGGTTGTTTCTATCGTACCATCACAATTACCCAGGTCCTCGTAAGTGATATGATCGTCTTTAGGATCATCAAGCTGCGATGGCGTCCTCAGTGAAGAACTGCTCAGTTCTCGATAGTGGTGGCGTGGTTTGGTAGGATCAGGCAATGACATTGAGACAGGTCTCTTTGGATGATCAGGTCCTGCTTGAGGAGGAAAGTTTTCGGTCAAGGAGGGCGGATACAGGAAGAGGAGGTTGGAGATGTAGAAGATCCAAAACACTCTAGCGATTTGTCTGCTTATACATATGCACGATCAGCCTGCTTCGCCTCTTCACGCACAAATGTCGCAGCCGCTGTGCAATCGTATTCGAGGCTTGGGGGCTTGGCTATGCTCAAGCGCATTGCGGCGACAGATGATCGGCCGCGGCCACCCAGTCCTCCATGCCTCCGACCGTGTTCTCTATCAGATCAACCGTCTGCTATCATTTGGATTGCCGTGTATTCTGGTCACATGGAGCACACAAATACCGGAACTATGGGATAGACACAGGCAGGCGAAGTGACCTTCTGACAGGGTCGAAAGTATCAAGTCATTCGTGGCTCAAATTATTAAGGAGAGGTTGAACAAAGGCATTCATTCTAGACTTCAATTTAAAATTAAAGGTCATCGGACTGTTTCCTCAACACCAAAAAGTGCTTTACAGTAAGTGCTCTATCTCTATAGTCGCCTGCATTACTATTTATCCAGCGGACGTACGATCCCCTTCGAATAGAACTTTATTGGGCGCTTCGCCGACAGATCTCTTTGAATCCTCCGTAAAGCTTCTGGATCGAATGCAATGGAGATGCGTTCATGCTGAATGATTGATGCCATCCGCCTGGTCCCTTTACAATAGAACGAAGAGCAACAGCAGCGAGAATAGAAAGCTAAGATATTGGCGAGGACAATTACCAGATAGGGTGCTGGCTGCAGAAGTCCCTTCCGCCTGCGAATTCTTCGTTGCTGGATTGTTGAACGCATTCTGGATAGATCCTACCATATCCATCATTCGTTCCTCGTTCTCAACAAGCACCACAGCCATGCCGCTCTGTTGATCAATTCAGGAGAGTGTCTACCGGTCGGTGAAATAAGACTTACCACAAGATGCCATTGCACATGGCAATGAAACAACCATGCCCCCGGATTGTCGGTGATGTACCTAAGAACGTTAGTAAATTTAGTGATCCGCCGAACAGCCTCTTTGCACACCTGATAACTGCCCAGCCCGAAGGCGGCAAATCGATGGTATCGCGATATGGCGGATTCTGGAGATTGATCATCGACGAGGGTGCATCAGTAACAGATTCGAACGGAAAGTCGCCTTCGCCGGCCCCGAGGAACCAGAATTTGTGGCCGTGTAGGTGCATCGGATGGCCCATCTGCAAATGATATCTCGTGAGCCAGAACTTGCTATGACGTTGACTCAAACGGATTGGCGAACTTACCGTGTCCATCGAATCATTCGCGACCTTCATAATAATATCAACGGTAGCGTTGGCAGGGGTAAAAAGTGTAGTGGCTGCATTCCAGCCGTCAGAGACGCTCCCATAGATAATAGGCCGAGCAGGCTCTGCGAATGGTTCCCTGTTAGCCACCCAAGTCACGATGCCTGTTTGGTTGATTGCGAAATGTCGAGTAACGGTGGCCGCCCCTGATGGCGCGGTGTTGCCCGTGAATGGAGCAAGTGTCTGGTCGTCAAGCTCGACAGTCCCTGATGTGGCGGATCCGTTGACGAGCATCCACGGCGAGACCAGGTCACTCATCATAGTCATGTTAGTATTGTTGGTCATATTCTGGAGGAATTAGTCATAATATCACGTTGCCCGGTGTCATCGACTCGCCTGGTATGACAGTATCGCTTGCCCTTCGATGACTTGCTGCATGTCACCATAGGGATAAGCTGCAAATCTAAAAGAATAGTCTCCGGGATTTTGATCAAGCCGTATCATGACGGAATACCGCTGGCCAATAGAGATGTGCAGAACCTGCCCGAAGGTTAACATGAATCATTGTTAAGAGTTGCTGCGGACAGACCTGAACTTCTTGAGGAGTCACATAGAGTCCATCCGCTTCATACACGAACATGGAATGACCGTCCAACGAGACGCTGAGTCTGCTGACAGCTCCAGCATTGACGAGATGTAGAGCGGTCCAGCCACGAGATGCGTCCGCGGTGAAGGTGAAGAAATCCGATGTAGTATTCGTGCAAGTTTCGAGTGGAAGTGAACTCGCATTGAAGCCTGGCCTAAACATCATGGGTGGGCTGCAACCGCGTGGGCCCAAAGCCATTTGCGGCATGTCTGCCATGGTACTCATGGTTCGGTCCTCTGTGCCCACCGACGCCGTAGATGATCCCATTATCGCCATAGAAGTCATTGTCGAAGAAATGGCACTCATATCAGACATGGCAGTGCCCGTTGACGGGCTTGCAGTGTTATCTGACCTTTTCCGCATGCTCATGGACATAGCTTCCGTTGTCATCGCAGGCATCGATGCTGTATCCATCGACATTGAAGCCATGTTCATTCCACTGATGGTTGACGACTCCATTGCCATCGGCATAGTGTCAGG